CTGGTTTGTATACCTAGCACCTAGCACATAACAAGTCCTCAGTAAATATTTCTTTTCCCTATTTGCCCGCCCCAGCCCCTTCATACATATGAGTATGTCCTCAATAAATATCTAAGGAATATATAAATGAATGATTGATTTGGCAATTTACTGAACAAGAATAAGGAAAGCAGAATTTGAGACAGCTGAAGTTTTTCATCTGAGTAACAGGGAGGATGGTGATACATTAAATGAGAATGGAAACAGATAAAGGAACAGGTTTCAAGATAAAGATTATTCATTGCTTTAGCGTGAGTTGGTTTTGGGAGGTAGGACAAGGCATCTCTTCACAGCTTTTCAACAGATACTTGAAGAGGTCAGCAGTTTTGGAGAACATTGTGGGCTAGATGAATCTATTTAGAAATCATAATTGAAGATACAGTGGTGTGACAGGGATCACTAAGAAAGTGCTAAGGGAGGAAGAGAAGAAGGACAAGGGCAGAATCATCAGGAATGTCTGCATTTAGGGGGAGGGAACTACAAGAGCTCCCAATAAAAGAATATGAGCAGCAGCCTCCTAAAACTAGAAAACTAATCAAGAACTCCAAGGGAAATAAATTTTAAGGAAGGAGTCAGGTGCTGTGAAGTAGTCTTATAACAAGCAATATGGTTGAAAGAGAAAACGCCACTAGATTTGTTCTTTAAAAAATAGTTTTAGTCAGCATATCTGTTAAAATTATTGTTTTCTAGAAGTTTGGCAAAGAAGGGAAGGAGAGAAGATGGTAACATAAAGGAGATGGTGAAATTTTTTGTTTTATAATTACGAAAGTGCATGCCTATTGGAAGAAATTTAAACATTCAGAAGTATATAAATTAAATTATAAAAATCATTCCCTCAGTAATTCTGTTCTACTTTTCTGATTTGTTATTTATCCATCCAGAACTTAAAAAATATTTCTTGTATATTTTTGTTTTTACAAAAATGAGATCAGGGGGCTTCCCTGGTGGTGCAGTGGTTGAGAGTCCGCCTGCCGATGCAGGGGACATGGGTTCGTGCCCCGGTCCGGGAAGATCCTACATGCCGCGGAGCGGCTGGGCCCGTGAGCCATGGCCACTGGAGCCTGCATGTCCGGAGCCTGTGCTCTGCAACAGGAGAGGCCACAACAGTGAGAGGCTCACGTACTGCAAAAGAAAAAAAAACAAAAACAAAAACAAAAAAAATGAGATCATATTATATATTCTATTATTGCAAATTGCCCTTTTTTTACTTAATAGTATGTCATGAAGTTTATTCACAGTAGTATAGAGAACTACCTCATTCTTTTTTTCTGTTTTCATTTATTTTATTTATTTTATAAATGATGATAGTAGGATTTTATTTATTTATTTATTTTTAATGTATTTATTTATTTATTTTGGCTGCATTGGGTCTTTGTTGCTCTGCACTGGCTTTCTCTAGCTGTGGCAAGCGGGGGATCCTCTTCATTGCAGTGCATGGGCTTTTCATTGCGGTTGCTTCTCTTGTTGCAGAGCACAGGCTCTAGGCACCTGGGCTTCAGCAGTTGTGGCACACGGGCTCAGTAGTTGTGGCTCATGGGCTCTAGAGTGCAGGCTCAGTAGTTGTGGAGCATGGGCTTAGTTGCTCCATGGCACGGGGGATCTTCCCTGACCAGGGTTTGAACCCATGTCCCCTGCATTGGCAGGTGGATTCTTAACCACTACACCACCAGGGAAGTCCCTATTTATTTTTTTATATTAAGGTATAGTTTATTTACAATATTGTATTAGTTTCAGGTGTATGAAACAGTGATTCAGAATTTTTATAGATTATGTGCCATTTATAGTTATTATAAAACAGACTATATTCCCTGTGCTGTACAATATATTCTTGTAGCTTACTTATTTTATACATAGTAATTTGTACCTCTTAATCCCGTACCCCTATCCTGCCCCTCTCCTCTTCCCTCTCCCCACTGGTAACCACTAGTTGTTCTCTCTATCTGTGAATCTGTTTCTATTTTGTTATAGTCATTCATTTGTTTTATTTTTTAGGTTCCACATATAAGTGATAGCATATAGTATTTGGCTTTCCCTGTCTGACTTATTTCACTGAGCATAATACCCTCCAGGTACATCCATGTTGTTGTAAATGGCAAAATTTCATTCTTTTTTTATGACTGAGTAGTGTTCCATTGTATATATATACCACATCTTCTTTATCCATTCATCTGTTGATGGACACTTAGGTTGCTTCTATAGCTTGGCTACTGTAAATAATGCTGCTATGACCAGTGGGGTGCATGCATCTTTTCAAATTAGTGTTTTCGTTTTCTTCAGATGTATACCCAAGAGTGAAATTGCTAGATCATATGTTGGTTCTATTTTTAGCTTTTTGAGGAGTCTCTATATTGTTTTTCATAGAGGCTACACCAATTTACATTCCCACCAGCAGTATACAAGGGTTCCCTTTTCTTCACATCCTTGCCAACATTTGTTGTTTGTTGTCTTTTTGGTGATAGCCATTCTGACAGGTATGAGGTGATATCTCATCATAGTTTTGACTTGCATTCCTCTGATGATTGGCGATGTCTTTTCATGTGCCTGTTGACCATCTGTATATCTTCTTTGGAAAAATGTCTATTCAGATCTTCTGCCCATTTTTTTAAATTGGGTTGTTTGATGTTAAGTTATATGAGCTGTTTATATGTTTTGACTGTTAACCCCTTATCAGTCATGTCATTTGCAAATATTTCCTCCCATTCAGTGGGTTGTCTTTTCATTTTTTCAGTGGTTTCCTTTGCTGTGCAAAAGCTTTTAAGTTTAATTAGGTCCCATTCATTTATTCTTGCTTTTATTTCCTTTGCCTTAAGAAACAGATCCAAAACAAATATTGCTATGATTTATGTCAAAGAGTGTTCTGCCTATGTTTTCTTCTAGGAGTTTTATGGCTTCCAGTCTTACATTTAGGTCTTTAATCCATTTTGAATTTATTTTTGTATGTAGTGTGAGAAAATTTTCTAATTCCACTGTTGTTTATGTAATTCTATAGGGTAACTTCTTAAAAGTGAAATTGTAGGAGGTTAGATGCACTTTTATTTTGTAGTGACAAATCACTTACAGAAGGGTTATCCCAATTTGCAATTTCCCTAGTACTATACTAAAATCCTCCTGTCCCCACACTCTCACTGACACTGAGTATTATTATACTTTTCCACTTAAGGGATAGTTTTGGGATTTAGGTTTAGGTTTTGATTTTTAATGGAAAGTCTGGTCTTATTTGTAATCCTAGGAGAGAATTCATTTGAGAGAAGGAGTTTGTAAATTATAAGAAAAGGAGATGATTGGCGGGCCATAGTCACAGAGGGAAGGGGCCAAAATGGTATCAAGAGTATGAGTAAAAGGTGTGATTTCCTTCTGAGATGTTAATAGAAGAATAGTAGATGGGTAAAGTTGGAAATAAATGCAAATGAGAGAAGAAATTTTTTTATATAGTCATCTTTATTTCAGGGAAATTAGAACCCAGGTTCCCAGGATGGGATTTGGAATAAAGGTACAGACAACCTTCTGTGTAAAATGGAAGGAACTGTTCAGTATTGGGAGTGATCAACATTGGCTAGTATTGGGAGCTTGGCTGACCTGAGAGTGTATGATTTTGGGAAACCCTGTAGTCTTGGTCACATTAACTTTTCTGTAAGAACAAGTAGAGATGTCGTTGGATTTGCCAGGGTTTGGGACTTCTGGGTTGAGGTAAACTTATCTTTCATTAACAGTAATACAGTTTTATTCTCTGTATTTTCCTGTCCCATGAGTAGAAGTTACATTAGCTAAGATATGCATCCACTGGTAGGTCCACAAGGGAAAGTGATCCTTGGGTTCTGGTAAAAAAATTTTTAAGTGTATAAATTTAATACACTGCTTTATTCTCCTGTAAAGCCATACTGCTAATAGTTTGTTTCTTTTCACCACTCTGAACATAAAACCATTTAATGTATTGTTTTTTATTAATAAATTATGATGTGAGCAAACATTACTAAAAATTCTGATCCACACAAAAGAAACCCAGTGACTTTGATGGGTTTATGTGAGTTGAATCCTGGTCAAGGGCCACCTAGCATTCATAATGGATCCAGCAATACTCCATCAACTTATTCTTGTCTAGAGATTGCCTCTACTGCTGCAGAGTTTAAATATCCTAGTTTTTAGAATGTTACTTTTTGAATAAATTATTTTTCTTCATTTTAATTTTCATCTTGTTTATGGTCATGGGGAAGACAAAACTAAAGTATTATGAGTCTATGGTGAACTTAAATTAGAAGGAAGGGGCTGGTAGAATAGTAAGGGATACACATCATCATAACATTTCTCTCTAAAACATAAAATGTTATAAGAGGAATTGTGCTAATGGTGGGAACATAGTTCACTGGAGAGAAAAACATATGCACATGTGTTTATTTTCATTAAAATTTCTTTTACGCCATATTTGCCTTGTTGACTTTATAATGAAATTATGTGAGGACAGAGACCAATTCTCCCACAAGCACTATAGTACTATTCCTCACATACCCTGAGTACATAATAAATACTATAACAATTGAAAATGAGAAACACAGATACATTTTGAAGCAAATTGGTGATATTTTCATCCCTTATGTTCATTTTTAGTACTCGGAAACATTTTAGTTATGCAAGTCTTGTTTTAGCATACTTTTTATTTTTACAGATACTCTGGTTCTTAGTCATACTCTATGGCTTTATTAGCAGTTTTAGGGTCTGAGTCTCATTTCCCCAACCCCAAATATAAACTTTTTGAGGATAAAAACCATTTCTTCTCCAAAATTGTTTTGGCAGAACACAAAATAGACCTTCAGTAAATTATTTAAATTATACATCAATAAAAGATAAGAAAAAGAAAGTTTCTATTGCCATGAATTGCATTTCAATTCACACTGAAGTATATGCCTTTGTGTGATCTATACCCCCTGCTGTGCTCTCTACAGCTCATAAATGTTTATTCTTTTCAGTTTATTGAAGTCAAAATGTGATGGCTGGACGCTTGGAACATCATCATCCAGCAAAAAGTACCAAGACTTCACTAACAATGGAGAGAATAGAAGGGAGAAGAAGACAGTTGGGTTTCAGTCACATATGGAAGATGATGCCCTGTGGACAGGTCAAAAGAAAGATGCATATCAACCCCAAAGAGGTAAGCTCAGCATCTGTAGTAGCAAAACAGGAAGCTCTTGGGGGCAGGAGGTTGCTGATGACTGCTAGCCATGAGCTCCAGATGATTTCCTATAACCCTGAGCAAGAGTTAAATGTGTTACAAACTGACATGGGCCTGCAAGGCCAAAGGTAGCACGTCACCTAGATCAGTGAATTGCATCAACATTTCTCTTAGAACACTCATATGAGAAACTGTCTAATGTGTCCCTCTTTTTGCAAACAGCAAACTGCAAGAATTATTAAGCAGTAAATGTGGTCATAGACATAAAATAATGCTTAAAGCAAATAAAGAGGACAAGAAATTGAACATAAATCTTTGCTGGGAAAGTAAACTCTAATAACTGCGATTAACTGGAAATACAAGGAGGGTGGAGGAGAGGTCATTGCGTCTAAAACAGAACCTCATACGTCTTAAGCCTATATTGCCTAGCAGTCTTTGGGTTTTTTTGTTTTTGTTTTGTTTTGGGGTGTTTTTTTGCGATACGCGGACCTCTCATTGTTGTGGCCTCTCCCGTTGTGGAGCAACAGGCTCCGGACGCGCAGGCTGAGCGGCCATGGCTCACGGGCGCAGCCGCTCCACGGCATGTGGGATCTTCCCGGACCGGGGCACGAACCCGTGTCCCCTGCATCGGCAGGCAGACTCTCAACCACTGCGCCACCAGGGAAGCCCTGCCTAGCAGTCTTTGAAGTGCCAATAATCCTTCCTATTTTATATATCGTAGATATTTTAAAAGAAATCAATTATAAATAACTATGTGAAAGGTTGACTGAGGCAGTCAAATTTAATTGCATTTCTCAGTTGTTTCTGGAGTGACTTTTGGCTTAAATCTCTCCTGGAATCATTAAAGGAGGGACTCTGGGACAGAATGGAACAAGTCTGAGCTTCATCAGTCAGAAATGATGTACAGAAAACAAAGGGCACAAAAGGTCTCAGAGCCCCCTTCTGCTCACACCTCTTTCCCAGACATCTTTTGTTCCTGCTCACAACCATTAACCCTGATTTCCTCCTTGTTTACCTCTTTTTTTACTGGGCTAGCTAGCACTGCCCACTGCTAGTGTTAATCAACCAACTTTTCATAATCTCTCTAACCACTCTCACATTTATTTATTTGAGAATTGAGCAGTGTTTTATGAGATCTTACAGGTATACTACTCTCTGCCTTTCCTCATCAGCTGCCAACTTTGTCATGTTTTTTGGTTTTAATTATGATTAATCTAGAAATCGCTTAGTCCTCTCCCAGGTAACTGAGAGATGATAATTAGTCCAAGCTTCAGAAGGGAGACTATTCACAATCTGAAACAAAAGCAAAGGTGCATTTTTGTTTGACATAGGGCAAAGGTTCTGCAGACCTCTGTTGTTTTAGGACAACGTAGAACAACTTTTGTCTTTTTAGACTTTGCTACCAGAAACAAAAATGAAATTGAGGAGACTTAGTATCTGAGCTGGAATCTTCTCTACTTTCTGTATTAGTAGTCCTTCAGAGATGGGAAACTCTTACTTTTGGCTCCCTCTATTCTTAGTCATTGCGCTTTGGAGAGTGGAGAACCAGTCAGAATTGGTATGGTAGTTACACTGCAAGACTCAACTTAGTCTTCTATTAACTTGACAATAAATTTGTGTTGTGTGTCAGCACTAACATAAAATAGCAAAATGAGAAAAATACAGTGTGATAGCAAAGGGACAAATAACTTGTGTTATTTGTTGAGACCACAGCAACATTAGAAAGCTGCAATTGAAAAGGCACTTTGAGAAAGGTATCATCAGGCCAGCCCTGGCCATTGTGGAGGTTAATCTCTCCCAGGCCCAGCTACAGAAGCCGGAAGTCTAGAAAGGGCTTTTGTCCAAAAAAAACACATCAATTTCTAATTTGAAACAAAATCATTTTTGACTAAACGGGGGTTCAGAACCCATTACTTTTTGCTGTGTAGTCTGCTGACATTTCAGCACTTTTTGTTGTGCACAATGAATCCTAATAGTCATTTTATAATGTTACTATACCAATCAATTTAACCAAGAGAAAGCTGTTATAATTCTGCAGTTTTCAAGAACAGTTTTCACTCATGGTTTTATTTTTTTTCATTAGTTTTTTTTTTTTCCTTCTCTTTTTTTGGGGGGTGGGGAGGGTTGTAGCATTATAGTGAGAAAAATGGAAAATTTTTCATCTTTTTAAAAGGGTTTTGTTTCAAGGTATTCACAGCAACTATTAACTTTTTCTTCTACTAATAAGAAATGCTATCTTGTATTTTTCTCTTCTTTTATTCTAATATGGAGCCATTAGCAAAATTATGGTATACCTGATCATTGAGGAGCTAAAACTGCCCCTTTGAGCCATTCTGCCCGTTGCAGAGCTGGTGGTATACACAGATCACAGTACAAGGCAAAGTTATTGCACTGGCATTTTTTGTGGGAGACCAACTTTCCAAGGTGTGCTGTAGCAGGATTGGACCCCCTGTTTAGCATGAGTCAATGACCTGACGCCAGTTACCTAAGTTACACTGCTTGGTTTAGCATCTCCTTAATTGCTTTCCTCTCTTTAGCATGTCTAAGTTTTAAAATATATTATTATTCTGTTTTATATCCTTTGTTACTTTTGTCGTCCTTTAATCATTAAGTACTACATAGGACATTTACTGAAGGACCATTAATCTTTATTATCAGTCTTTTTCTCCTTTACCTCTCCTATCCTCCTCACCATTCTGTCAACTTTATTAATACTAAACATGTAAAAAAAAAAAGACCTGATTCTTGTCTCAAGAAATAACCTTGTGATTGCAAAAATATCAGTACAGTACAGTATTGTCAGAATTATGCTTAAAATATAAATTGTTTTCCAGTCATAGATGCTTGGAATGTTCTGTCTTAGTTGCTTTTATTGAGCTCTGTGGAACAAGGAGACATTACTTAGGAAAATCCAAACTTGAGTCAAGAACTTTTAAGCCAAAGGCATAAATCTAAAAATACCCAATCTTCATTCTTCTTTTTTCCTCCCTACACAGCAGTATTTTTATTCTCTCCTAGCTTGCCTAGAACCTCCTCTTCCTGAACAGTCACTGACTCTTTTATAAGAGCCCTCGAATCTGGGAGAATATTTTTTCCTGTTATGCTGATGGGCTGGCAGAGGTTGTAAGGCCACTGAGCACGCATGTTCCAGAATTAATTAGCAAAATACTAACCCAATACTAAAAGCCCAATACTACATTTAGAGCTACCTCCTATTTATTTCTCTGACATCGATCTCTGACTCCTCTTAACACTTTGAGAGGGTATGAGAGAGGCTGAACCTAGAGTAAGTTGAATTTACCTGATGGTATTGACCATGCCCTTCATTTTGTCTTTCGGGGTTTTATAGGTTATATAATATACAGCAGCTGTCACTGGTTGAGACTCCCTGAGAGACTCCCAAACACATTTTTCTTTTACTGGAAATGAAGGAATAATCTGAAGTGAGAAATAATCTCTGACGCTCCTAGTTGTTCCTCTACGTGAGCCTGTGCTTGCCATGATGTGAGCGTTCTTTGTAGCCCATGTTGGATTAATATTGCAGTCCTGACTAAAGAAATAAGCAAGTAGGAGTATCTAAAGTACAGAAACCATTTCCATCTTGCCTCTAAGGAACATTTATTTATGTTTCTTTTATTATTAGCATTATCATTATTATTATATGTTTAATCATTAGAAAGGATACCACAATGTATTACTTCTGGTTCCCAGTAGTCTGAGCTAAAAGATTTGTTAAAAATGGATACTTTTATCATTAAAACACAGAAGACAAGCATAGTACAGAGCTATGAATAAACCTAAACATATAGATTAAATCGTTCTGCCCTGCCCACTCAAAAAAAATATTCAAACGCAAGAGACTAACATTCAGAGTTGAAGTTGCTATATATCGAATAGTAACTTGAACCAGAGGCTCTACATTTCCTATCCTCTGCAATACAAGTATCTCAAAATACTATATAATTTACTTGCTTATTATGTATGTTTTGTGTCTTCTCCCATGAGAATATAAGCACTCCTTATGTTCACTGTTGTTTCCCCATTTCCTTGAATGTTGCTTAACATGTGGTAAGTGCTCGTAATGTATTTGTTTAATGGATTACTATATTACAGTTGACCCTTGAACAACTCAGGGTTGAACTGCCGAGTCCACTGACATACAGAGTTTTTTCAGTAGTAAATACTGCAGTTCTAAACAGTCCATGATTGATTGAATCCACGGATGTGGAGGAACCGCCTATACGGAGGGCCTACTCTAAGTTACACTCGCATTAACCCTCACGTTCTTCAAGGGTTGACTGTATAAATATTAATTTTTCTTTTTGTGTCCTTGCCCCATTTTCCCAAAAGAAGGATCTAATCAATTAGACCTTTTGACCTCAGTCCCTGCAATGATTTAGTGGCTTAAGAAGTGTATGTGCTCATCCCTTCAAAGTCCTAATGCTGATTGATTGGTAATGTCAAAGAAAGTCAGTAGAGTGGGGTCTTAAAAACAGCACTGCTTGAGAGGCAAGAAAACTGTGGGGGTTTTTTCATTTTCTTTTAGTCTAATTGAGGTTTAATTTATATACAGTAAAATTGCACAGGACTTAATAGTACAGTTTGATAAGCCTTGACAATTGGATATACCTACATAATTAAGAAATAGTACATTTCCATTATTCATGAAAACTTCCTCACGTTCCTTTCCAGTCATTCCCCGTGAGGCCTCTTTCCTTGGTTTGCAGATGGCTGCCTTCTCAGTGTGTCCTCACATGCCCTTTTTGCTGTGAATGTGCATTCTTGGTGTGTCTCCCTTTTCTTATAAGGACAGAGTCATGTTGGATTAGGGGCCACCCATATGACTTAATTTAACCTTAATTACCTCTTTAAAGGCCCTGTCTCCAAATACAGTCCCATTCTGAGCTGTACTGGGGGTTAGGACTTCTGCATATGAATTGCTGGGGGGGTGGAGGGGGACACCACAATTCAGTCCATAA